ATATATATATATATATATATATGTCTAATAAGTAGCACTAAGCTGATCTTCACTGGATATTTTTACATCTCAAGCTGATCCAAAAACTTAAGTTGATCCGAGCACACTAAGTTGATCCCGATCAACATATCCCCTGTTTTACCTACACATATACTCGTTTAGACAAGCTGCACTAAGCTGATCATTTTGCAAACTCAACTTTCAGTTCTTTCGGAGCCTCCGCGGGCAAGAATCACGATAGTGAGGCGGTTCGCCGACTTTTCGGAATTTTTTCTCAGGTCCGATAATTTTGTTTTCAAAAAAGCGCGGGTGTCAGATGACCTTGTTGATAGTTCGGTTTTCGGTCATGTTCCAACAATTCAACACTCAACACTCGTGCCGTGCATTGAATTTTGAATTTGAGGTTATAAACAATGTGAACAAAAACCACCGAGTGTAATCAAATATGAATAGAACGGAGAAAATGTTGGCGGCTGTCGGTAAGTAATAAATAATAATAATATGTTTATTTCACTTCAGTTTACATGAATAGCACAGCCAAGTGTTAATGTTATATTTCATGTGTCCTGTTTCGTCATCTTCAACCCCTGGGAGCTCTCCATCTAGTCTCGATCAAGGCACGAGCCTCAAGGATCCAGAGTTCAGGGCTGCAACTACCCAGTACTTAGTCTATTTCCTTGTCTATTGCATTGGGCATAGCGTTTAAGTGTCAGAGTGACCCGTAGTTAGTGTACATTCAAGATGGATAGACCTAAGTTGGTCCGTTAGCCAGATGTTCTTTGGAATTTTCCGATCATGACGGATTCCCCTGATTTGTTGTTTCACTCCGAAGGTTTCCCCAATTTGCGTTTGCGCTGCCCCCTTGCATGATTCCTCCCTGATTGCTGCCTTCTGCATAAGATCAATGTAATCGGATCGGGGGAACAGCAGAGTGGGATGAGCAAATTGAATCTGAATCAATGGGAATCTGTTGGCTATGTGGACAGCCCTCACTCTCAACAAGCAGAGATCATCACACTCAACTTTCCTAACAGACTGACCTACGTCTATCGATCTTGCTGTGTATTTATCCATACGTACTCAAGGTGAGGTAAACACTATCCCTCTGGGCAACTTCTCCCCAGCAATTAATTGAAATAATCTGCCTTAAAGAGTGGCATTATTTTTCTTCCTGTAAGCATTCCATTTATTAACAAAAAATCAGTCATATCCAAAACTCTAACTTAAATTACCTTGAATTTAACAAAAAGGACACATTTGTTTCGGGAGCCTAACTGCTCCCATCTTCAGCGGGTGATGACTGCGGTGCTCGCAGCGCACCCTCAGATTCCGGGTGGATAGGCTCCCGAAACAAATTTGTCCTTTTTGTTAAGATCGAGGTGATTTGAAAGTTAGAGTTTTTGATGCGACTCATTTTTTGTTTATTTACATTTGAGGACACCGCACCAAGACCAGCCTATAACTGGAAACCGCGTTTTGAGAAAAACGCATTTAAAGTTTTGTTTTTGATGCACTGCGCAGACTTTTCTATGCAGGTACCCTATTTTGGTGTTTTTGGATGACCTAACCCATCTATTGAAGGATGCCGGGTAGATTTTGCGATACATTTTGGGTTTACCCTCGATACCCTAACCTCGATAGATCTTAAATTAAGACATAAGGATAGAGCATTATCATTTTTAAACACAGGAAAGAAGTGGAACTGTTCTCCTTTCATGTGAGGCAATACCACGTCCATCAATAAAGTAGTGTTGCTTATTTATCTACTATAGCAGGGACAATAGCATGAGCTGATTTTTCTTTCTCACTCCCAAATTACCTGGCTTACTTTTAAAAACCCATGAGCTAGACAGAAAGAATTTATCCAAGTTGCAGCTTACCAAACCTTTTATATCACTCGTGGATTCAAAGGTCAGCTCCATTATGTGTGAGAGAAGAAAAAGATTTCAACCATAGAGTAGATCAGAGTAGCTCTAGCTGTCGAGCTGCTGTCCTGACTCACTGCGGTCTAATCCTGTAGTTTTTAATCCTAAGTCGAACTTATGGTCCTGCACTAGTTTGTAGCTGTAAACTGATAAGTACTTGATAACCACAATAATAACATCTCTTCTTTTTTTTTTGGTCTGTAGGTGTAGCGAAGCCACCAAGAAAAAAAGCACGGATGGTGCCGGGAAGCAACTCTGAAGGTAATAATTCAGTCATAATGAATATGATCCGAATCTTTCGAGAAAATTTTCTCTGAGACTTCAACTTTGAGTTTTAATTTCAACCTAACCAGAAAAGTAATCTGTTGAATTCCACGGGTATAATTTTATTCTTAATCAGTAGTTTGCGGGCATGTAAAGCATGTAACCTCCCGCCTACAGCTCCAGAAGTAATATGATTTTTAAAAACTCATCAGTTTCAGGAAGGGGAAGCTATGTGTGATTATCTAGATATTGACAGTAAAACTACCAGACCATGTATCTCAGTTTACGACGTCGCAGATTTTCTCTCATACTTAATTTTTTCAACAGAAAACTGCGCAGCGGTGATTCTCGAAAACTTCCGTGATTTTTCATTGCTTCGCAAAGAAACCGCTGTGAAAAATTCAAGGAGTAATATAGATTTGTTCTCTTTCAAAAAAATAAAATGGGAGCAAAGGTTTTAAATACCGCAAATTAGATACGCTGTCTAGTAATTTCACTATCAATATGTGCTTCATCCAAAATGCCATCAAATTATACATGCAATGTGGCAAAATTTATGCTGACATTCAATCCGTCTAGTATTTCATTGTCTAGCTGAACATATACTGAGATGTGGCTTCTGGTTCCCCAAGGGGGAGAGGGGAGGGCTGGACCTTTGGCTTTTTGGTCCACGTTCAATACATGGCCTATAATTATTCAGGTAAAATTTGGTGGCCTGGCAGTACCCCTGAAAACATCATTCTCGCATAGTATCTAAGTTGGGGGCCTCCATCAGGGTCTTGCTGACTCAAAAGTTTTTATAAGAACAAAAAATAAAAATGTGTCCCCTCCTCTTTCTCAAAAAGTCGTTCTGTTTAGGGTATCATCAAGAATTTCAAAGGTTTTTTTTTTTTGTTTCAGTGATCTCACAAGCAAGAACAAGAAAAAGAGAAGTTTTGGGGGATGTAAGTACTTAATGTTTTTCCTTCAATGTTCAAATCCTAAACAAGTAACCAGCAGTTAAAAATAAAAAGAGAGGAAAGAGTCTAAGTAAGCCATAGTTTTTCATTTCTCTTGGAACTCAGGTAAGTAAAAAGTTGGATCCCAAAATCGGCCACTTGCCACAGGAAATGGTCAAATATCGATGGTGAAACTACCAAACCACGTATCTCGTTTGCGGTGTTTAAAAATCTGCGCTCACATTTTATTTTTTTGAAGTAGACCAAATCAATATCATTCCTTGAAATTTTCACGGAATTTTTTCTGCACAAACAGGAAAAATCACAGAAATTTTCAAGACTAGATGTTAAGTAGTTTTTCATTTAAAAAATAAAGTATGACAGGAAGTCTGCGACGTCGCAAACCGAGATACGTGGTTTGGTAGTTTCACCGTCGATATGCTTTTTGAAATTTCATAAACATATTTCTCAATTTGCAACACCTCAGATTTCTTAAAACATATTTCTTCATTGGAACACTGACCAACATTATTTCTTGAAATTTTCCCTGATTTTTCTTTGCTGCACAAGGGATATTATGTACAAATTTCTAGTCAGTAAGAATTTTTTCCTGAAGACCCGCATAAGAAATTTGTCATAAAACCTTTGGTTCTTATTTGCGTGATTAAATTAATTTATCATGCTGGAGCAACCGTGCCATAAAAGGAAATTTTTTCTGCGATCTTTAAAATTTAGATTAAACTTACATTGAATAGTTCAGATGTTGAAGGAAGATTTTGCTCTGAGTCAAAGAGAATTTATCATTCATCTACTACTACATACCAGAATGATTTTCTTGTTCTGCTGTGATTAAAAAATACTGATTCAGTTTTACTTTACTTTGGCAGGTGTCGAACTTCGAGCCAGTTGTAAGGGAAGAAAGAAGCCCCTTCTTCCTCGCCCAAGGATATGAAACTAATTCAGATTTACTAAGCACCTTGCGAAATAAATTTTGCAATGCTTCATTAGATGCAGATTCAGCACCAGGTAAGAAATACTTGTTAGTATTTTATCGAAATCTATCTGCAAGGGTATCATATCTCGAGGACCACGGTTATACCTTGATTTTACTGGGGGTCGATAATCTTCCAAGCATCAAAAATTTTACATAATTTAGTAATTCAGTTAACTTGAGGAAATAACTCCCTTTCCCTGCAACACAATTTCCAAACCACGCAATACCCTAATTGGACCGAGTTTAACAGAAAGGAACCAAGCCACATCAGCTATTGCCAAGTTTAATTGGGCAATTAAATCTTTTACAAGAGAACGTTCGTTCGGATTTCTTTGAAAATTTTAAGGACTTTGCTTCGTACCATGAAGAATTTTCACTGAAATTTGCACGAAAATCCGCACAACCGTTTTCATGTAAAAAATTAAATTGCCCAATTAAATTTGGCAATAGCTGATGTGGCTTGGTTCCTCTCTGTCTAACGCAGTCCAATTATGCTGATTAGTCTTTTATTCCCCATGCTGTTTAATTCTT